TATGCGTTTTTTTTTTTTTTGGCAGCACATGTAACCTTCTCCCAAATTAATCTTAACAAATATCAAATGACAAAAACCAAAAACCAACCAAAGAAAAAAGCCCACAGAAAACAAAACCCCTGAGCCCCCTAACATAATTCCTTATATCTTATCACTTTGCAATAGACTAAAATAAGAAACCAGTAAGAGGGGCTGGAGAGATGGCTCAGAGATTAAGAGCACTGACTGCTCTTCCAGAGGTCCTTGAGTTCAATTCCCAGCAACCACATGGTGGCTCACAACTATCTGTAATGGGATCCATGCCCTCTTCTGGTGTGTCTGAAGAGAGCAATAGTGTATTCATATACATTAAATAAATTAATTAATTAATGTTAAAAAAAAGTTAAAAAAAAGAAACGACCAACATCACAGAGATACTTAGAGACTAAACTACATTGCTGGGAGAGCAGTGGGGTCATCCAAGAAATCAGACAAGAAATGAAGATTCCCAGAGACAAATAATAATGAAAACGGAATCTATCAGAACTTCTGGGACACAGCCAAGGTAGCCCGAAGATGAAACTGTAAAGTAATAAGTGCTCATATTAGAAAAATCGAGATATAATATATCACATAACTTAGTGGTATACCTCAAGGCTCTTGAAAAACAAGCAGCCAATCCCAAACATAGAAGATAGCAAAAAATACAGATTAGGAAAGGAACTAATGAAATAGAGATTGAACAAAATATAAAACCAACTGAAGAGCCAGTTCTTTGAAAAAGTTAGATAAACCCTTAGTCAATATGACAAAAAGAAATAGGGAAAACAAAAATTAAACAAAATTAGAGATAAAGGATCCCATGATAACAGACTCCAGTGGAATACAGAACATGGTCAGAAAACTAGACTGCTGGGTAGCTCAGCAGAACAAGAGTTTCTAAACCTGTATCATCAACCAAAATTAAACCCAGAATACGTAATAACTTAAACAGACCTATTAAAGCAAGAGATTAAAGCTATAATCAACTCCCCAGCTCCCCCCTCCACCCAAAAAACAAAACAAAACAAAACAAAACAAAAACCAGAACTGAAGGATTCACCATTTACTGTAGAATGCTACCTAACTTTCAGGTAGATATTATACAGAAAGTAAAGGAACACTACTAAATTTGTTTTTTGGTGTTTTTTTTTTTTTGGTTTTTCGAGACAGGGTTTCTCTGTGTAGCTCTGGCTGTCCTGGAACTCACTCTGTAGACCGGGCTGGCCTCGAACTCAGAAATCCCCCTGCCTCTGCCTCCCGAGTGCTGGGATTAAAGGTGTGTGCCACCACCGCCCAGCATTTTTGTTGTATTTTTACCTGGTGTTGGTATTAGAATAATACTAGTTTCATAAAACAAATTTGGGCCAGGCAGTGGTGGCGCACGCCTTTAATCCCTGCACTTGGGAGGCAGAGGCAGGCGGATTTCTGAGTTTGAGGCCAAGCCCGGTCTGAGTTTCAGGACAGCCCTGGCTACACAGAGAAACCCTATCTCAAAACAAACAAACAAACAAAACAAAAAACAACAAAAAACCCCAACAACAACAACAAGAGAAAACTGCAGCGTGATTTCTTTGATGACCAGAGACATAAAAAATCCCAATAAAGCACTTTCAAACTGAATTTAGGAGCGCATTAAGATGTGTTTATGTTGTGGATGTGATGAACCACCACGACCAAGCCAACTTACAAAATCAAAAGCTTATTTTGGGCTTGTGGTTTCAGAGGAATAAGAGTCCCTCACAGTCATAGCGAGGAAGCATGCAGCCAGCACCAGGCAGCAACATCCTGAACACAGGAAGTAGAGAGGGCAAACTCCAAGTCTTTAATAAGCTCCCCAAACCCAACCCAACAATACAATTCCTCCAGCAAGGCCATACCTCATAAGCCTCCCAAAGAGGACCATGATCTGGAGAGAACAACAAGCAAGTGGGTTCCATCCCAGAAAGGCAAATCAAGAAATGCAAGGGCTGGAGAGATGCTCAGTGGTTAAGAGCACTGGCTGCTCTTCCTTAGGATCTGAGTTCAATTTCCTGCACGCACATGGTAGCTTACAACTGTCTGTAATTCCAGTTCCAGGGGATGTAGTGCCCTCTTCTAGCCTCCCCTAGCACTAAGCATATGCACAGACATATATGCAGGCAAAACACCCATCGTGTACTCAGGGATATATCTAACCAGAGAGAACACCTCTACAGTGAAAATGTCGGAGAGGGAGGTCATAGAAGATGTTACATGATGAAAAGCCCTCCCATGCTCCTAGGTTGGCAGACCTAACTAATACTGTGGAAATGGCTACACCACCAAGACTAATTTGCAGTTGTATGCAGTGGTCTTCAAAATTCTGATATAAATATGTACTCTGAATAGGTATGTAGCCACTGAATCATCTTTCCAACCCCAAAGAATCTTTTTTTTCTGGAGCCTAATACCAAGAGAAAAAAACAGAAAAGCAAACTTCTACAAGAGAGACCACCCATGGGCTAAGGAACCAAAACATGAACATCCATATGAAGCAATAATTGACAATAATTGTTCCAAATTAATGACAGACATGTAATTACAGATACAGGTTAAAAAAAAAAAAAAACCTTCCAAACACTGAAGACATGTTCTGTTCTGAAGAGCAAAGGTAAGGTAAAGTGTAAAAACAAACCAGAAGAGAAGGGCAATGACTAATTATGTTGAGCTTTAGTTTACAAGTCATGAAAGCTACAGAGTGGGGTGGTTTATTTCAAATATTTGAAAGAGAAAAACTCCACAGTACTAGAATTCAGAAAAAGAGTTTGCTGAGACGGCTCAGTGGTTAGACACACTTGTTCTTGAGGACCTGGGTTTGGTTCCCAGCACCCTTATGGTGGCTCACAACTATCCTGATCTCTGTAGGTGCCAGGCATTCGTGTGTTACATATACATGCATGCTGGCTAAATACTCATAATGTGTAAAATAAATAAATCCAAAGTATTTCTTGTCGGGAGCAACCTTGCTTATACACTGAAGGCCTAAGTCAGCCATACATGCCTGCTAACACAAAGTCTTGGTCTCTGTGGGAAAACACTGACTCTAGAACAGATAGCTGTAGATTTTGTAAACAGGTAGCCTTGGTGGAAAACTACCAGCCTGGATAAGAACAAGTAGTCAGGGGCTGGAGAGATGGCTCAGTGGTTAAGAGCACTGACTGCACTTCCAGAGGTCCTGAGTTCAAGTCCCAGCAACCACATGGTGGCTCACAACCATCTGTAATGAGATCTGATGCCCTCTTCTGGTGTGTCTGAAGACAGCTACAGTGTATTCATATATAATAAATAAATAAATAAATCTAAAAAAAAAAAAAAAAAAAAGAACAAGTAGTCATAGACCTTGTGGATAGGTAGCCTTAGTGGAAAGTACCAGCTTAGATAAGAACAAATGAATCATAGACAGAGTCACAGTGACCTGTTCCCTGAACCTTCACCCAGCCAATACCCTGTTCTGGGAGATATCTGTACTCCCCCTGAGAACACCTATGCTTCTGTGTCATCCCCTTCCCCACATCCTGCCTCTATGTGTATATAACCCCTGTGTGAAAAAATAAAAATTACAGTTTGATCAGACTCTAGACAAGTCGACATTCTTTGTGTTCCCCCATCCTCCAGTTCTCTCCTTCGGGTCCTCTGGATCCTAGTTCACCTCCCCGAGGGCCGGGGCAGTTTGTTTTGAGAGATATGTTAGATTCGGAGGTTTGCATTTGTAGGCCCAATGATCAAGAAGCTGAGGCAAAAAAATCCCCCAGAGGCCTGAGCAACAAAGAGAAGACCTTTCCTCCAGAATGAGTATGAACAAAGAGGGAGGGCAGGAGATGTGGCTCAGTGGTATAGCACTGCAGAAGGCACCCAAACTGAAAAAAATAGAGAAAATGTCTTTCTGAGACAAATAAAAATCGAGGCACTTCTGGGGGCCATAGCTCAAAGAAGTACTTAATGAAGTTGGGTATTAGGTGCACGCCTCTAATCCCAGCACTCCAAAGGCAGAGGCAAGTAGATCTGAGTTCAAGGCCAGCCTGTATGAGTTTCAGGACAGCTAAGGCTACATAGTGAGGCTCTATGAGCTAGCCAGGTGTGGTAGCCACGCCTTTAATTCCAGCACTAGGGAGGCAGAGGCAGGCGGTTCTGTGAGTCAGAGTCAGCCAGGACAGCTAGAAACCCTCTCTCAAACAAACTACAGGAAAAACAACTCCCCCAAACCCCCAAAACAAAAACCAACCCATACAGAGAGAAAGAGAGTGAGCCAGCCTCTGGAGGCAAGAAGGTATCAGAGGCCAGAAGGAGGTGTCATAGCCCCTGGAACTCTGGAGTTACAGATTGTTAGCTCCTGGAACTGACCCTGAATCTTCTGTAAGAGCAGAGTGCTCTTAGCCTAGCCACTGAACCATCTCTCTAGCCTTTCTTTTTTGAAGACAGGTTCTCACATTGGCCTGGAATTTATTATGTAGCCTAAGATAGAATCAAACTTGAAGTGATCTCTCTGCTTCAGTTTCCTTGGAGAGCCTCAAGTACTCTTAACCGCTGAGCCATCTCTCCAGCCCCAACACGGGTTACAGTATCTAAACACTACGCGTGTGAAAGCACCGCTGAGGCCACTCAGAGATCACGAAGTTCTGTTCTAAACTGGAGTGGGAAGAAGCTGAGGTTTAGAAATTAGCGAAGGCTGTGGAAATTTAGAGATTTACTTCTAGTCCTAGAAAGATCAGATTAGAGGGCAAGGCCTCAAATCGGTGGTTGTGTCCAACACCTTCAAAGGCCGAGTGGTACCAGTGACCCGGGGGCGGGCAGAGGCCCGGCCGCACAAGCGTAGCTCTTCCAGTGCCCAAATCCGGTCACAGACCCGCAGGGCTCGGAGCCGCTCCTGCCGGGCTGGTCGCTGCACAGACGGATAGGAACAGCAGCCCTCCCCCTTCCTCCTTCCCTCTCCCCTCTCCCCTTGGCCGGGCAGACGAACTTACCATCGCAGGGATCAGTGCTTTGCCTTGTCTCAAGGAAACCGCACTAGTCCGTCACCCAGCCTGAACAGACTTATGTGACGTCCCGCGCATGTGCATAGCGTGGCCACGCCCACTTCCTCGCCTAAAGGGAGTCACCTTTCGCGATTGACCAGGTAACCCCGGGCATTTGCCAGGACTTTTGCGCTTAAGTTGTTCTGGTGAGACCCTGACGTCTTTCTGCAGCTGCTTCTGTATTAGGGGACGCGAATATGCTCGGTTTCCAGAGGGTGCGACATCTACCGTTATCCAGAGTAGTTTATAGGGTTTGCAAGAGGACGGAAAGGCCTCCAGGGATGGAGGCTGTTCCAGAAATCATGGTTGTTTGCCATAGACACTTTGTTTTTCAAGGCAGGGTTTCTCAGGGTCGTGCTAGCTGTCCTGAAACTGTAGACCAGGCTGGCCTCTAACAGAAATCTATCCGTCTGCCATGCTTCCTGAGTGCAGGATTAAAGGCCATCGCCGCCTGGCCTGCAAACACTCTTTAAAAGTAACCCTGAAGTTGGGCATGGCAGTGCACTTTGTAATCCCAGAGTTTGGGAAGCTGAAACAGGATCAGGAATTCACGCGCTTGTAATTAGTTCAAGGCCAGCCTGGGATGCATGAGCCCCTGTATAAAAATAAAGTGAACTTAAGGGTATAGTTCAGTGCTTAACCACTGTGAAACCACTCATCTCCACAAACAGACAAAAAAGTGACCCTGTTGTATATTGTCGGGGTTTGTTTCATAGTTTCCCCATCTTCACAGATCCAGGTTTAGAAAAGGAATCCCCTACTCTGGTCTGACATTTGAATTGGACAACCTCAGCATGGGTGCAGGTTTTTCTTTGTTTCTCTGCTATATAACAAGGGCTGGCAATGTAGCTCAGGCTGGCCTAGAACTCAGGACCCTTCTGCCTCAGCCTCCCTAGTATTGTAATCACAGGTTTTTTTTTTTTTTTTTAAACAAAATTTCAATTGTTTGATTTTACCAATGAAGACACAGGAGCCAGATGCTCGGGTAAAAGCCTGCTAGCTCAGGGAGGCAGAGAAAGCACCCAGATGACCTTCCTCCTCAGCTGAAATCTCAGAAGGAATCCCCTCTCTCACACTTCCAAAACATCTCAAAGGTTTCAAACACCTTCAAACTCTAGTTTTCTTCTGTTGCCTTCAGATCAAGATGTTGAATCTTGGCTCCTCCAGCACCATGTCTGTCTGCCACGAATACCGTGCTTCCCACCATGATGATACTGGACTGAACCCCTGAAACTGTAAGCCAGCCCCAATTAAAGTTTTCCTTTATAAGACTTGCCTTGGTCATGGTGCCTCTTCACAGCAATGGGACCCTAACTAGGGCAGAAGTTGGTGCCAGGTACTGGGGCGTTGCTGTGATAGGCCTGACCATGTTCCAATTACCGGCTGTATCTGAGTTTTGTTCCTGGGTGGTGGGGTTGAAGGCATGCACCACCACCACCTTGTTCACAGTAACTCTAGAATTTAGGAAACAACTAATTTACAGAGATCCACCTGTCTCTGGGGGATTAAGGGCATGGGATACCACCACCCTACTCAAATATTTTTATCTTGGCTACAAATCAGTCCGAGTCTTGGAGATTTAGAAAACAAGTTTGAACTGTAGTAACCCTTTGAATTCACTTAAAACATTTAAAATCTCTTCCCTGTGTTTTTAATACCAATCAACAAAAATATCCATTGTATTTAAGGAGAAAACTCAAAAGCTGATGTCCAAGATGTTATGGGCCACATGACAATCTACAATCTAATAGTCTAACGTGCAATTATGCTATGTGGTGTAAGAAACTCATTTTTCACTTCATAGCAGTAAGGCAAGTGTGCTTTTGGTAAATTATTATTGGAAAATGTTATTTTACTTCTTTATTTTTTTAGATTTATTTATTTATTTATTTATTTATTTATTTATTTTGGTTTTTTCGAGACAGGGTTTCTCTGTGTAGCCTTGGCTGTCCTGGAACTCACTCTGTAGACCAGGCTGGTCTCGAACTCAGAAATCCGCCTGCCTCTGATTTATTTATTTATTTATATGAGTACACTGTCGCTCTCTTCAAACACACCACAAGAGGGTGTCAGATCCCATTACAGATGGTTGTGAGCCACCATGTGGTTGCTGAGAATTGAACCCAGGACCTCTGGAAGAGCAGTCAGTGCTCTTAACTGCTGAGCCATCTCTCCAGCCCAATTATTTTTTATTTTTATTTTTTCGTGTCTGATCAAATGAAAGACATTTGTTAGTCTTTGTAGGTTAGTTCAGACTGAATGACCAAGCTGTCTGGTGAACTCTCGCCCTCCTTATTCTGGAGATCTCTCCTGTTCAGATCTCATCTTTATCAATCTCGATGGTACCCATAGCATTTCTTCTCCTGTGAAAACAAAGACAAAACTTCTTCCCTATAACACATGCAGCGTACACTCAGTTTCCTTCTGAGGGTGATGTCTTTAAAACATACAGAATGGTTTAACTCAGAAGTCCAGTGTCTCTCCACAACTGTTGCTCTTTTATCACTAGCATTTTAAAAATTCAAGGTTAATAAAGCACTGTGTAATCTGTCCCTGGGGTCTTTATTACCCCTTTCTGTTTACTAAGCATGTCTTTTAAAGTGTGGTTAGACTTCTCTATAACTGCTTGTCCTGTGTGATAGACCTATAATATGCTTTATGTTGAAATATGCAAAAACTTTCATTTTGTTAGAGATATATGCTGGAACATTGTCAGACTTAATTGCACAGGTATCTCTATAATAGTCATAATGTCTAATAAATGTATAATTACAGAATCAGCCTTCTCAGAAGTTAAAGCAGTTGCCCATTGAAACCCTGAATATGTGTGTCTATGACATGGTGTACATACTTTAATTTCCCAAATTCTGATAAATGAAACACATCCACTTTCCAAATTTAACCTTTTTGGGTGCCTTTTGGGTCACTTCCTGTGGGTGATGGAGTTTGGCCGTATGATGAACAAGCAGTACAGCTCCTTATAATTTCCTTGTCTTGTTGCCAAGTGATAGAAAAAACTTTCTTCAAATCTTTGCTGTTATCATGGTGTTTCTTATGAAATTCTGAGGCTTCTAGTGCAGTTCCTATTAATAGCTGATCAGTTTTGTCAGTACTTTGTGCTAGATGGCCTGGTAGACCTGTGTGGAGTCTGATGTGTGTTATATACAATGGATGATTTCTATTTCTGATTACTTGTTGTAGTTGAATAGTTAATTCTGAGTAATCCTGAATAAGTCCAGCAGTTTCAAAATGTAAAACAACTCTTTCTGCATATTGAGAGTCAGTGACTATATTAAGAGATTCAGGAAAATCTAATGATATCATAAGAATGTCATGTAGGTCTGATTATTTTCTAACTGAATAATAAAGACTCTGATCAATTTTACTTATTTTTCCTGGCTTATAACCTGCCTTTCCTGATTTATTTGCATCAGTTTAGATGCAGGGGCTCCAGAAATTGGTGTCTTTTTTACTATATGAGGGAGAATCCAATTAGCTCATTTTATACACTGAAGTCGCTTGCTTTTGGCATATTTGTTGTTAATATCTCCCAAAAAATTACTGCAAGCTTGTTCTTTGCTGTTATTAATTTTCTGCCCACAGTGAGGCAATTTTATCACCATTAAAAGGTACCACAGTTTCTGCTAATTGATGAGGTCTCATTCTTCCTTTCAGAATCAATTCAGAAACCTTTTCTACATAAGTCTTTATTTTTTTACACTACTTGTGTGCTAAAAGTATCCATCTGTGGAGAGCCACATAGTGCTGCACCCTTAAGATGGCGCCTGTTGGTGAGTGCTCTTAGGAGTAAACAAGTCCTTATTTGGCTGTGGCTGGTGATCTGGCTTGCTTCCGTGTATGTGGACCTATCTGCTGTTGCCACGTGGCAGACGAGGGTAGGCTAGTCCTAGAGTACCTGGGAGACGCTCCCCGCAGGGTCAGAGAGAAGCTTATTCAAGGTCCTGAATAAACTGCTTGGGGAAGAGCTCGTGGATGAGGGTGGGCACGACATCCATCATAAGATATTACTTTCTCTCTGCATTAGAATTCCCATGAGAGAATGAGTAGAAGGCAAAACAACCTAAACACTATCCAGGTTTGGGTCCTACCACTGCTCTCGTGCATCCTGCGATGTCTTTCCTGCCAGAGCGGATTCTCCTCGGCCTTGGCTGATGATTTTCTTGGCCTATTTAAATTCTTAATCACCTTGTAGGGTTTGAAATAAATCACTTAGCTCTTGAATAGTTAATCCAGTTATGGGCCATAGGCAGTTAATATTTTCCAGCAATTTTTGAAAATCATTAAGAGCTTGTAATTGATCTCTCCTAATTTGTACTTTCTGTGATTGGATTTTCTGTAAACCTGTCTTATATCCTGGATAAAACTGACAGAATCTCTTCTTTGTATTTTTTCAGGTACAATTTGTAATCCCTAGCAAGGCAAATTCTCTTTACCTCGTCAAACATTTTTTCCTACGGTACCTACACCTGAATCAACCAGCATGATATCATCCATATAATGGTATATTTTATATTGAGGGAGCTGTTTATGAATTATTTTTAACAGCTGTTGTACAAAATATTGACACAGTGTTGGACTATTTAACATTCCTGGTGGAAAGAACTTTGCAGTGATATCTTTTAACAGGTTGAGCATATCATAAGTAGTCACTATGAAGGCAATATTTTATCCTCTTCTTGTAAAGGTATAGTAAAAAAGTAGACTTTTAAATCAATCACTAAAATGGACCATTTCTTAGGTAATAAAGAAGGCAAGGGAATTCTAGGCTGAATCACCTATTTGTGGTTTTAAAATCTGTTAACAGTCTCATTTTCTAGATTTCCTTTTAATGGCAAATATAAGAGAATTCCAAGGACTGGTTGATTTTTCAATATGTTGAGAATTTAGCTGTGCCTGTACCAACTGTTCTAGTGCCTGTAATTTTTATGATGTCAAAGGCTATTGTTCTACTCAAACAGGCTTGTCAGCTAACCATTT